AGGCCCAGATAGCTGGCAGGAGGTGGGGGGGGGGGGGCTCAGCCTGGGCCCTCACGTCCCCAGTTCTGTCTGGCTGGCTTTGCAGAGGGGACCCAGCCATGCAAGGTGTCCCCACTGTGACCGCCCGGCTGCCCCTCCCCCAGTACAAGCATCTCTACAGTCGGCACGAGCTAACTCCGAACGAAGACGAGAAGCAGGACAAGGAGATCTTCCACAGGACCATGAGGAAGCGCCTGGAATCCTTCAAGTCGGCCAAGCTTGGGATCAATCAGAACAAGAAGGCAGCGAAGCTGTACAAGAGGGAACGTGCCCAGAAGCGGGTGAGGGCGGCAGGCACGGGTTGGCAGAGGGACCATGGGCTCACAGCAGGGCATCCCCCAGGGACAAGCCTGGGCAGAGACTGCACCACTCACCTCTGTAGCCCCCTCACAGAGCAGGAGTGGCCCTGGACGGCTCCAGGCGGCCCCAGCGGGGCCTCGCCCCGGAACGGCTGGGGCAGTCAGGGTCCTGGTGTCGCTGTGCCCACACCTGCTAACAGTTTTCCTTTTGTTTCTCAGAGAAATAGCAGCATTCCCAATGGGAAACTGCCCATGGAGAGCCCCGTGCACAATTTCACCATTAAGGAGAAAGGTACTGGCTGGGGCCACAGCAGAGCGCTCACCAGCGGGGACGCAGGGGCGTGTGATGGGGCAGGAGAGGTATACGGAGCACCGTCCTGCCAGGGGGACCCTTCCCTGCCCGCAGGGTCCTGCCTGTCCTGCCTCGGGTAAGGAGCTGCTGTTAGGGCCCCAGCCACTCCGCTGGGCGGCGCCCTTCAGGTGGGCTCCACATCCCCTGTCCCAGTCTCCACTCATGTTGTAGCCACAAGAAGTTAGTGCCCCCCCCCCCCCCGAGTAGGCCCCCTTCTCCAGGGTGCTCCGTCCTCCAAAAGGCCAGGCTGGCTGGGGAGGAGGGGCCGGGGCAGAGGGGTGGCACTCACCACGGCCCCTGTGTAGGAGGGAAAACCTCCTGGTGTGGTTTTGCTTTGTACAGCCCTGTGCTGGCTTGGCCACCTGGGCACTGCCACCCAGCAAGCTACCCAGAGGAGGTGGCTAATGACAACCCTCGGGGCACTCTGCAAGCTGGTCAGGGTGTCAGTCAAGGGCACTAAATGGGGGCGTCTGTGCACCCAGCCCACTTCCCTCATGCTGCCTTCCCTTGCCACCAGATTTGGAACTTTCAGACCCAGAGGAGGCCCCGGACTACGGTGCTGAAATGGGTGGAGGGATCGAGTTCCTGGCAAATGTTACACAGGACACCACGGCGACAGACTCCCCCTCAGGTGAGGGGCAGGCGGGCTGGCCCTCCTCAGGTCCCAGAAGTGAGCATGATCACTGGTCACTGGATGGGGACTTCTGGGCCCATGTGGGGTGTGAGTGGCAGGCGGGGTTCTCTGCTCCAGAGAAGGGAGCCGGGACTTGCCCTGCCTGCCACGTGTAGAGGGACGGCATGGGATGCAGAGCATAGAACCCGAGACCTTCCAGGTAACCTTCCAGGTGCTGGCTGCAGGACGCGCTGGTGTGTGACCCCAGGGTGGCACCCCCCCCCCTCCCTGCTGCCCCGGCTTCACCTGGGGAGCTGACCAGCTGCTGCCCTTTCTCCTAGGGATTGACAACCCCGTGTTCTCCCCGGATGAGGACCTGAGCACCCTCTCCAGGGTGCCACCCTGGCTGTCACCAGGGGAGACTGTGGTGCCCTCCCAGAGGGCCCGTGTGCAGATACCCTGCTCGCCGGGCAACTTCCACCGCCTGGCACCCTTCCGCCTCAGCAGCAAGTCCGTGGACTCCTTTCTGCAGGCCGATGCCCCCGAGGAGCAGCCCCGCACGACCCTCCCTGAGTCCACGCACATGTAACTCCCCCCCCACCCCCCCTGACGCCTGCTCTTTCCTCAGCTCCTCTCCCTCAGCCGGCCGCCTCTCTTGCTCTGAACCTGAACGTCTGCAGACTCTCCAGAAGCTTTCTTCCTTCTTCTAAGCCTCTTTTCCAGCCGCATGTTTCTTAGGAGATCGTCTGAGTCTCAGCTCCTCCAACTGAGATGTCAGGATCCAGAGCTGTTTCAAGATCTCTTTAACCCATGTGCTCAGCCCACGAATCTAAGTCATGATCTCAGAGGGGCCTAAGCGTGGGGGGGGGGGGGGGGGGGGGGGGGGGGGGGGGGCCCGGGGGCGGGGCGGGGGTCGCATGGGAAGGGGAACACACTTTTGTCCCTAAAGGCCCCAGGCCTTTGCTTAAAGCCCGTGCGACAGAAGTGAGTGGAAGAGAGCAACAGGCCCCCTTCAGCATCTCAAGAACTCAGGGAAAGGGCACAGGCAGCGGAGGGGCCGGCCACACAGCCGGTGAGCCCACCGACCAGACCAGCAGCTCTCCCGGGAGAGGAGGGCAGAGAAGGCGGGGGCAGGGGTGAAGACGGGGCGCGAGGGGGCAAGGCAAGGTTGGTAGGCAGGTGCAGCTAAGTGCAGGTGTTCCGGCTTCCTTGCTGGGTGCCTAGAAGGTGCTGTCCTCGCTCTACTGTCCACAGGGAAGGGGATTCAGCCCCTCCGCGGGGTTCAGGCTCATTCCACAGTTCCTTCTGGTGTCTGGTGGCCACCTGGGAGGAGACAGGAAACAGGAGCTGGTACCCGAGGGGCTCTCACTCAGGAGGGCAGGAAAGTCCTGTTTCTGTCTCCTGTGGACACGTGGACAGGGGCGTCTACCAGTCCGGCGGGGGAGCGGCAGTCCACCCCTCACTGTAGAGTGTTCTAGCAAATCCCTGCCTGATGCAGTATTTGCTTTACGCACAAGCTGAGATTTCTTCAGGGAC